TTTTTAATTTTTAAATCCAAAAATAAGTAAAAATATAACCTAGAATGTTGATTAAAAATTTTATTTTTCCCATTTTGATTCAAAAAAAAGTTTTAAAGTATTATTTATGTATTAATTTTATTTTTTATATAAATTTTTTATTTTAAAAATCAAAAGTCAAAATAAACAATTATTATTGAATGGAAAGTGTTACTAATTATGCATTTTATTTAAGAGGTATTCACAAATAAGCAGTTCATGTTACACTCAATTTTAAATTAAAAATCAATTAGTTAAGTATTATACTAATTTTCATCTATTTATTTTAAAATTTTACTCATAATAACTAATTTAACACTTGATATTTTTAAAAAAATGTAACACTGAAAATTGTGCGAAGAATTTTATCCCTCCTTTTACGTTTTTTTTTTTTTATTATACTATTAATTTTCAGTTGGGGAAAAAAGTCAAATCCTTCCCATTCTTTTTGCTCAACATATAAACAGTACTTGTTTTGGTAGTTCAACGAAAAAAGAAAAAAAGGGAAAAAAGAAAAAAGCTTTGTATTTTGTAATTTAGCTCAAGACAAGAAAACTGAAGAAGAAAGATATTACATTGAATTAGTAGAGGATGAATATTACATGAAACGTAATTCAGAATATGCAAGGAAATTACAATTCGTAGACAAAATATACTAACAAACCGCCACCAGTTCTTCGGCAGCCTTAACAAATCCTTCTTCTATACAAAAGTTGCCATTTTCCCTTTCTTTTTTCAAAATCCAAAAAAGCACCACAAAATAGAGACTTCTAGATCTGTCTACCCCCATATTCTATGTACACGCAACTGCACATTTCCAAAATCCAACTTCCATATCGAAACTGTCAGAAGAATCATAGGCCGCCGAATTATCAATTTCCCCCAAAATTAAATCCAAAAAAATAAAAAAAATAAAAAAGAAAAAACGAAAAAGGAAACAGGTCAACTTCCGACCCAGCTTCACTTTACCAATTTGGAAACCCACCCGACATTAGGACCCGACCCTAAATGCGACTTATGTTGCTGAAGAGTGTGAGAAAATTCACCTCCCCTTCCCATCGGATTTCGGTGAAAGTTTTCAGCAAGATAAATTACGTTGTTGATACTTTTTTTTCAACAACATAACTTATGTTGCTGATATATTAGTAACATAATTTTGGTTGGTAATGTATTACTCACGAAGCCTTCTCCAACAAAACTTTTAGCAATCAAACCCATATTGCTGAAATGTTACCGAAGAACTTTCAGTAACATGGTTCCATGTTGCTGAAAATTGAGATTTTAGTAGTGTATTATTATGGAATATGATGTGGTATTGGTGGGTCCTATTATAATTAAATTGGAGAAAAGAATAATAC